TGGTTAAACCAAAACAGGGTCATGCCTAGGGCATTTTATCTGCCTTGCTTACACACCCCCAGGGAATTGCATCTCAACAGTTGATTCCCTGTTAATCAATTCACATTAGTGCCTGCCTTTTAGTTTTTACTTTGCTGAATTCCAGGAAAGAAGTTCTTAAGCCAAATGTATGTTCTATCTCTGACCTAGTCAGAGCCATTGCATTTCAAGAAGAAATCCCAGCAGATTATATTTGCTCTACGAGCTGATAAGAGACACCTTCGTAAATAAGGATGCATAGCCTGCAGACTCAACACAGAACATGATCCAATGGTGTCCTTACACAGGTCAGCAGTAACATGGGAGGAGAGGACCTCCAGGGAATTTTTTTAATTCTCAACCTATGTTTTCTAGCTAAACGAGAGAGACTTTTGGTGTACGTTATTCTTCTGCTTCCCTTTTCTTTCTTATTTTCTATGCCTCAAGATTATGTGCTTGATAAGAGACTTGATACCACTTGCTATCACCCCATACTGTTTTGAGTGACTGTGTATGTTTTTGCACTGCTCTTGCCACTTAATAGGCTAAAACTTCTAAAAATGCACTATTCACGAGTGACAATCACGTTGTGGGGGAGGAGGGGAGAGTTAAGAGCATAGAGCAAATAGCTCATTCAAAAAAGCAGATCTGACTTTATATTCAAACCCTTTAGACTGGTTAAGTTACTCTCTAGCATACACACAGATCTTCATACAGATGATCATAAAAATAAAACTTTATTATCAAACTTAAAATTCACACATTAAACATAAGATCTAGAAACAAATAATACTGAAAACATTCGCAAACAATAACCATTGTAGGTAACTTGGATGAGTAGCAAGTTACCATTGTTCCGAATGCCTTTAAGAATATTTAATAATACATACAGCATCATGAAATGTCTTCAAATGCTTAGCTGGCCAGCTTTCAGTAAGTTTTTTAAATAGGGGAAAACTTATTTCTATAGAAATAACATTATCTAATTATGAATCAGAGACCCATAATTGTAGTGCTTGGGGAAAAAAATAACATTGCCTTTTGAAATATTTAGAAGACATAAATAACTATTGTACATTCACAATTTTAAATATTTAAAGGCCTTCATTTCTATAAAAAGTTACTATATACATATTAGATACTATATAGAAATCCAGCTGGAGGCAAGAGTTCAGATCTCAGATTTGGCCACTGAAACTTATGAATTTGGTAGGCAGATTGTCCACAGGGTACACTATGGGGCCCGTTTTCATTGTAGGAGGTCCATTCAGCAGCTGCCAGTCACAGCTCCGAGCCAGCTCCACTGTAAATATTTTCAGAAGGACTTTTGCAAATTCTTTACCCACGCAGCTCCTCAAGCCCCCACCGAAAGGAATGAAACTAAACCTAGAGGAATCCTCTGGAGATGGAGACATGAAGCGATCTGGGTTAAATTCATCCTTGTCGGTAAAGAGATCTGCCACATCATGGGTATCACAGATACTGTAAATAACATTCCAACCTTTAGGAATCTGGTAACCCTATCAAAAGAAGAGAAAGGAGACATGAAGTGCCTTGCTGTGTTACATAAGATGAAGTGTCAGCACAGGACACATCGGCACATCCCACCTCCCCTCCTGGCTCCCTGCAGGTCACTCAAAGGCAGATGTGCTACATGAATGCACCAGAACTTCACAGCTGTGCTGAGGAGTCGAGCCCAAGCCCCGCTTACATTTAGCTCAAGGGTCTTGAGTGCAATTCGAAATCCTCCAGGTACAGGAGGGCTCAGCCTGAGGGTCTCTTTGATGACACATCCCGTGTACTTCAGCTGCTCCAAGACCTCCATGTCCAGCTGCTTCTCTTGATTGGAACTGCACAGTAACCCCTAGGAAGGAAGATGCTGCCATGACATTTATGGAGTGGGTGGCTAGGGCTTCCAGCACTGCAAAGCTGCCACCCCTCATTCAGTGGTGTTGCCAACCCCAGAAGTAGGGCACCACCTGGGTCAAGGGAAGCCCCGCCTGGGGTTGCCTCTCCTGGGGGTACCTTCCCACTGCCCCCTCCTGTGAAATGGTTCTGAGGAAGACACGCACCTTCACTTGCAGCTCTTTTCTCACTTTCTGCAGAACATCGTGGTGGAGCCCTAGGAAGGCAACCAATGACGTGGCAGCACTGGCAGTGGTTTCGTGGCCCCCAAACAGCAGTTCTGTGGCAGACTCCTTCAGTTCCTTACACAGAGACAGAGGAGGCATAAAACAGACCCCAAACATACTATCTCTACCAGGCCCACTCCACCACTATAATGCTGTGCATTGCTCCCAGGCTGGGGCAGGCACCCACAGGTTAAGGATGGTGCTTGTGTTGCTTGTGGACATGGCTCTCGCCCTGTGCACCCCATCCAACAGCCTGATTGCAGCCTCTGCACCCCAGCGCACTACACAAGCTGGTTTATGTAATGAGGAGAGGGGACACTTGCTGCTCTCTCCTTTTGGCCCCAAGAGGTAAGTGTTCTGCTGAAAGAGGGGCAAGGGAAAAGGGATGGATCAGGCCCTGGGAAGCCTCACCTGCATGTTGAGCTGCTCCCCATTGCTCTGTGTATGCTCCATCAGCAGCTGCAGTGCGTCCTTGTAGCCACCCTCAGGCTCCTTGCAGGCCATCTTGGCACGGATGTTCTCCTCGATCTTGGCATGGATGATGTTTCGAGCCCGCAAGCCCTAACCAAGCAGCAGGGAGAGTAACATGTGACTTTGGCCATACTGCCATCCTTTCCATATATTCCCCACTGTCCTGGATGCAGGGGCACTTCCCCTCCTCCCAGCCCACCAGGAGCCTTACCCGGTAGAGCCCGCTGAAGGGCACATCAATGGGGAGGGAGAAGAGGTTGCGGATCATCTCCTCGAAGGCCTCCACCAGCTGCTGCTCGCCGTCGGGGCTGGCCTGGCGGGGTTGGAAGCCCAAGAGGATCCTCATGGCGATGCGAAACATGAGGCGCTTCACCTCGGGATACACCAGTAAGCAGGGTCTGGCGGCGCCCAGCCACCGCGCCAGGCAGGAGCTCACCTCCTCCTGGATGACGGGCACGTAGTGCTGCAGGGCGTCCCGGGAGAAGGCCCGCATGATCACCTGCCCAAGGGGACGAGGAAGGGGACAGAGGCTCAGCAGCAGCGCCCACAGCGGCCGCACCCACACCCCGCCCC